CCTGCCTCAAAACAACTCCACTCAAGTGGCCTGAACAATACAGGGATCTGGAGAAATTATAATGATCTTCTCAAAGTATAATTGTCCTGTCCCTCTTCTCATATCGATCCTTAAACTGCACACTAAGCAGAAGAGTGGGCAAGCCAGTGCAGAGAATCCCACAGAAGAGACACCACTGAAATCTACCTCTTGCACTACTAAAATACTTATAACTTCTTAGAGCAAATGTCAAATGGTAGACTAAGATGGAAGAACATATTTTTTTACTGTAACATGCTTAGCAAATTCCATTGGAAAAGTGTACGCTGTGAATTCCAGTTATATATCACCACTATGGCTCCGCTGTGCCTACCATTAATTGTCAAAATACACTAATAACCTCCCTTTAATTCTGACATATTTTCCATTGAAGCAATTGGAAGTTTTTACATTCCTTTGACTCTGTTTTTTTGGGGGGAAAAAAAAAAAACACAAAAAACAAACAACAAAACAAAAAACCAAAACCAAACTAACAAAAAAACCCATAAAAACAAAACAAAAAACCAAAACAGCATAGCTGTTATAGCTACTTAATAAGTAACTACTGCATACAATTTTATAACTATATTTTTATAGCTATACAGTAATAACTAGATACTTATATAGTACAGTTAACTACAAAGTTAAATAGCAGTTATAGCTCATTTTAGCATGAAAAGGAATATTAAAATTTTACTGGGTTGATTTAATATTTTCCAGTGAATTTGCTAGAATGATTTACATGCACTGCATGTCTCCTCTCTTAGCTGTGCTCAGAAATCAAGTGCAGGCTGAAAAACTTTGGCTAAATAACACAGAGGTTAACAGTGATGGGACTGAACCAATATGAGAATCTTCTGGCCCATCTTGAACAGGAAGCAAGGTGCCAAAGGTTTTTTGCTAATCTCATAACTGTTTCAACACTGAAGTCCATTTTTTCATGCTGTGCAAACACTGAAGAGATCTCCAGAGCACATGCAGTTAAGCCTCTCCACTGGAGCAGAATCCATCCATGTGTGACAGATGTTGGTCTAATCAGTTCCTACAAATCTCGAGTGAAGGAGATTTAAAACACAGCCTGCCTGGTGCCTAGCCACTAGATATTCTTTTTTTCATATATAATTTAAATCTTCTTTTCTGCAAATTAGAATATTGTTTTATACACATCCCAGTGGGCATGTTAAACATGTAGTTACTCACTGATTTCTTTAAACCAACCTTTAAGCAGTACCAATGTTTTTCCACTTCACAACATCCTATGCTGATTTATACTAGCTGAGCAGCAGGCCTTCAGTTTTAAAAGACCTGTTCTGCCAGCACCAGGCACTTCAAGGGACTGACGACAGCAAATCAAGATTTATGTTTTTATGCTTAAGTGTTTTGTGATTCTAATGTGCTTATTTTGATAGTGACAATGAGCCATTGTGAGCTTACAGCTCTGCTGGTGCCCTGTATAAACCAACCGGTTGAGGATGGATTGTGTCCTCCAACAGCACATAGCAAGATGGGTTTTGCACTCTCAGAAAAAGTACCGGGTCATTCTTGCATCATGTTCTCAGTTTTTCTCCCTCTAATACAGTTAAATTCACCTTAAAAACAACGGAGGAAGAAAGAGAATTAGAAATTTGTTTTCACACAACAGGATTTTTAATTCCAGCCAACATGTCAGCTGAGAGTTTTTGCTTTCAGTAATGGTCTACTCTGTTTCTTACAGAGGCCTGATGCATTTATTTCATGTCAATGGTCAATCTGTAGGAAATTCTTGCAAACATTCCTGATTTCGCATGGAAAGGGACTTCTCTAGTCTATGAGACAATGAAAAAAAAAAACAAAACACACTCATATCAGCTTGGAAATCAATGGAAATCAATTCTCCTAGGAATTCTGTTCACAGAAAATACAACCCAGAATCAAGTAATATTGTTGTCTTAATGGCTTAAGATTTATCTTGAACTCATTACCTGAAATAACTAAGGACTGGATGACCTAGATAAATGAGTGAAATTGTGTGACCCAAGTTAGCCTCCACCACACCTCCTGTCTGTTGGCATAATTTGGCTCATATGGGATGCAATAATAATGTCTCTGGACCTCATAGGGAAGGGAAAGATGAGAAAAACTATGGGGAGAGTGGGAATGCAAATAAATATTTAAAAATAGGAGAAAATGGCATCAGAATGAGATCCTTTTAATATACTAAGAATTTCAAAAGACAAAATAAAATGTGCTGCTCTCTTCTGGCCTGGCCTGGCTTGTCCTGAAAAGAATAAGCTCACTGCCTTTCTAGGCACTGGTACATGGAACTGCTTTCGAGGTAATGACAACAAAGGGAGAAGCACAAGGAATTATTTGCAAGACAGAAGTTTTATAAACTTTAACAGGGAGCTTGCCATTGGTTGCAGTGTGGGACACAATAGCATGAAGCTGGCTGACAAAGAAGCTGACAAGGGAAGAGTAGAAAGAAATGAGGTCTAAGAAGCTGGTCCCTGGGTTGGTGCTAACATAGGAGGGTTAAATGGAGGGAATTTTTCTTGGACTGCCTGGGCAGATCATTTGCCCTAGGAATCAAAGTGTGAGCAGAATAATCGATATATAACATAGGTTTACTTCTTAAGTATTGTAAGGAAAAAGGCAGGATTGTTTTGCTTAGGCATGAACCAAAATAACATGTAGAAGAGAGATTTGAAAGTAGACAACTAGTACTTGACTTTCCTTTGCATCAGATGTGCCAGCAGGAGACTGGAAACTGTCTCCAAAATCAGGGTGAACTTGCATGAACATTCAGTGCTTCTTGTGGACACATTGTTCTTCAGACTGTAGTCAGGGTTATAGCCAGCACTCAGGGTGTTGGTGCAACACAGAAGTTTAAAGAGAGTTGAAGAGGTAGATCAACGACAAAGAAAGCTTTGAGGGAATTTATGGCCTGCGAGTAATGGAAGAACCAAATAATGAAGCAAAGCATAAGGCCAGTGCTGGAGGAGACTTAAACAAGAGGAAGATAAATATGCTTGATAAATATCATGTTGGTAACCAGGGATTTTGTTAAAAGTGTTGAGCTAGAGTTGAATGCCACATCAGGAAGGAGGGGGAGCAGCAGGAAACTTAATTAATGAGAGGGAATCTTTGAATGAAAATACAAGTCACTGAGAGGAAGACAGGGAGGAGAGCCAGAAGGCAAGGCAGAGGGTTGCTAAGGCTGGGTGGTATCAGGTGTGATGTTCATCACAGCAACATACAGTAGGAAGAAAAGTCAGAGGGAAGATATGAAACAAAATGACAAAAGTGGGGAGAAGAGTACAGCTACAGGGGGGAACCATTGCTTTTCATTCAGCTTCCCTCCTGAGTAGAAGAATTTATCACTGAAATTTATCCTTTGTGTTTCATGTAATTGTGGCTCAATTTGTGATATTTCTTCACAAACAACAACTTCGGTAAATACTCCCTAACACTACTCTGTGCTGTGTTTGCTGAGGTCCTTCACAACATGGAGTGGTAAAGCCAGCTAATTGCTGTACAAGCAGGGTGGAGTCACCAAGCAGTGTTGTTACTGAGTGGCAACTCACAGTGTGGAGCTGCTGAAAATTAGTCATGTTTTAGTAGTGCAACTGCTACTTTTCCTGATACTAAATGCTCTCTGACATGCCAAATTTACTGCTGACTATAAACAAAACTTTGTAGCCAATTTCTGAACTGGCACAAAAAAGAAGAATTTAAAAATGAAAGTTCATAAATTTTGTCATTATAACTGTGTAAATTACATTCCTGATCCCATCAGGTGCTCCCTCTCATAGTGCCAGGCTCCCAGTTTCCATGTCTCCTGCCACAGAGCCCCATGACTCTCCCAGGCTCCAGTTTGCTGCGGTCAGCCAGGATTATCTCATGGTCCTGACTCATTCTCAGTTCTTCTGCCTCCACGAGCTAGTGGTGTCCATCAGCAAACAGCCTTGCTAAGGCAGAGCCTGGTTACTCAGAACAAAGGCAAGGCAGAGAAAAAGGCTCCACAACAAAAGAGCTATCTATATCAGTTTATCTCTCTGCCTCCCACTAAGGCTGACTGATGGCTGCTCCTCTGGACTCCAGAACCTCTCCCCACTTTGTCCTGTGCCCAGTGGCAGCTCCAGACAGCTGACTGCTTCCCCTTGGGAACAAATTCTTGACTGTTTGCTGATCTCTGGATTTGTAAGTATCTAAACCAGCAAAGAAGAACTTAGAGCTTTTCACTGAGCAGCATATAGGATGCTCAAATGGAGCAGTGTCTCAGTGATTGCCAAGACATTGTCGTATGCAAAGTCGCTGTACAACTGACATGTTTTGGTCTTCTGATAGTCCCATCTAATTAGAGCAATGCTGGCTAGTTAGGAAGCAACCTCCTACCCCTCTAGAAGTCAAACAAATAAGCTTAATTTCCAAGGGTACATTTAAATTGCAGAGAACATAATGCAGAGATCCCCAAGCTAGCACTGAGCTGATTTGGCAAGTCACACAGCACAGCAAAGTACTATGTGGATATGCCAAGCAGGACTGCAAGGCAGAATAATCATGTTCAGCTGGCACAGCACTCAGGGCTACACCATGTCTGGTTCAGTGCAGGTCTGCATGGAACCTCTGCACTGTTTCCCAGCATTTCAAGCTGTGGGAGTAAATAATACTGCAGGAGCATAGATGTCTTTGTGCACACCCTAAATTGCTGATCAGATTCTTAGATTATTACATGGCAACTCCACTCCATTCCAACTTCTCTCTTTTAATCACTGAGAAAAAGTCATGCAGTTCTGATCTATTTTACCTTCATTTTGTTACACTTCTCATGTGAGACACTTGCAATCTCTTAACCTCTACTTTCATGCATTGATTTTTTTAAGCCTAACCTTGAGAAAGACATATAACACTAGCCCTCAGATATCTGCACTTATTCTGACCCCTTCCTTGCCTCCAATGTATCCCAAAGCCTTTTGAAGAAAAAGTTACCAAAAAAAAAAGTATTTTACTCAGATAAAATTATACTCTGGTATTAGACACAAACGATTAACAGTTTTAGCATCAACCTAGATTAGTCACCCCAAAATTCAAGAAACCATTCCTTCTAGCAGGTCGTAGCAGAGCAAGGAACAGGAAACATGAGAACATTTGCCATCTTGCAAAGTTTTTGTAGCATTGACTGTGTTCTTGAAAAGCAGCCAGCAATCCATCCCATCCACTTGTAAATGTTCTGCAGCTATTTTCTTAATAACTCAAGGATGATGGATGAGTGTAAGGTTGGGCAGCTTTGTTTGATAGCCTAGGGGAGAGAGAGGGAGGGAGAGAAACAAGTATCAGCAAATAGATTGTGCAACAGACAAATAAAAAGAATTACACAATACACTACATTTTAAATAACCCTTCTGGAATGTTGTCATTTTCACAAATTGATGTTGCTTAGAATAATTCACCAGCTAATGCTACCAATAATTTAATTTAAAGAGAGACAAATGGGTCCAAATCATTGCCTGCAATAGTGCTTAAAAGTGTCAACAGTGCAGAGCACTGTTTACAATTTACATTGCATTTTCTGAAAAGAGACAGTCCCTTCATTTCAGCCTCCTATTGCTTCAGAGCTTGAGCAGCAACTCAAGAGAATGGGCTCAAACATGAGGTGGAGGGGAGTCCTGAGGCCTTTCCACAACTTGGAGTCCTTTTGGAGGCATTTTTGTCAATTGTTTAACTCTGTGATTTTTCAAACCGCTAAGAGACACAGAGCAAAAACTTCTGTGGCCCAAATTTTCACAACAGGTAAGTGAGAAACACAGACACTACTGTCAGTAGACTTAAATTTAATAGAAATGGGGACTGCCCCTAAGCTTGGTAAATAATGATATTGTCAAGATTGTGAAAGTTCATTCAAATCTCTTATGAATTCTTCTAGTAAATATTAATGATTTACCTTCTGCTCGAAGACAAAGATGTGACAGAATTTCCTTCGACTCTTGTAACTTCTAATCTGTTCTTCTTTCCATTCCCACTTCTTGAACTCAAGCATCTTCCTCATTCTATGATCACCAGAGCAAAATATGCAAATAATGAAAACAACTCTAGTATGAATTGTGTTTTTTTAACAGAAGCATGCATTTTGTAATTAGGAATGTGTGGAAGAATTATGGGAACCATAAGGATTTCAGGTCTGTTACATCTATGCAAACCAGTAGAAGTTATGGACAAAGAATATGGTCATGTATAATACAGCACAGACCACTGGTTTCGTCAAGCAAACCTCCAGTGGGAAGGTCAGCACCTACAAGTCCTTTTGATGTTTGGGCTGGGCTCAGTGTTTGACATAATTAATACACTTTTTTCAAACCCAGAAAACATTGTATTCATGTCTTGATGAAGAAGCATCCCAATATATATGCAAAGGGTACTAGAGCACACACTTATTAAAATCACCATCAAAATGCCTATTGACCTCAGCTCTGACATCAGGAGTCTCTGTGTGTATGAGAACAGATGTCTGCGTGAACTGTGTGAACTGAAGTTCACTTGCAGTAGAAGAGAAGTTTCTGATAAATGGAGGAAAATGTTTTTTGAAGAGTTTGTATCCCCTGTGCAGCACAGTACAAATGCACTATCGGCTAAAGTCAGTGTCTAATCGGTAGCAGCTCTGAACTCCTGACTGACAATATTCACACAGAGCAGCTTCTGCAGGGAGCGTTTGCCAAACTCTCTCCCTATGGAAAAACTCCACCTGACATCCTCCATGACTAAGATTTGGGAAGGTGATCTTCACCCCACATGTCATGATACCAAAGTCCAGATATTACAGCAGATTGTAAAAGAACACAGGTGGCTATGAATTAATCTGACCTGTCCCCTACTCTCTGCCCCGGTCACTCATGGCATTTCAAGCATAGTTGAGGCTTTTTACCTTTGAGACCCTTCATGGTCACTACAAAAAAACACAGAAAGTTGCAAAGTGAAGACTATGATCAGCCTCAGCTCTCTCAGACACAGTCCTCTGAGACACAGAAATCACTATGGTAAGGAAAAATTATTTTGGGCTGTAATAAGAACATTTTAGAGCTCTGAATCTGTGGAATGAACTTTCCCATAAGCCGAAGACCACCACAAACCACAGGACTTCATTCCAACTGCATTTGACCTTGTATTTCTAACAATAATAAAAAGAAATGTGCTGGCTGGTATCCCACCAAAAGAGACTGCTGTGGAAGGCCCAGCCCCGCGGGGTGGCTGTTGGGCACATCACAGCATGTACACCCACCACCGCTGCAAAGCACATTGTGGAGGCTGAGTGGAAGATCAGGGTGTATATGTGAACAGAGGTTAATGAGTGTAAGCAAATATCCTTTAACTCTACAAACTTTTGAAAGAGAAAAGTGCTTCTGGAGACTTCCAGCTAGTGTGTTATTTCTGCTGTTCACCATCTTCAGCTATCCATGAGAAAAATCAGTGTTGTCTGAGGAAGGACTGAAAAAGTTATCTTCACATTTGTCCTGCTCGAAGCACAGCTTTTATAACACTGACAGATCAAAACAATTTATATTACAGTGCATTGGTCACACCAAAATGACAACTGGTTTTACCCTTGTTTTTCCCATCTATGCAGCTCAGGAGTAGAGGGCAAGACTCACATCTACTTTATGGGGTATGGAAGCTGAAAGGATTAGACAGTATGTTGTCAGACAATTTAAGTGCCCTAATACATATCCAACATGCCTTCTGCTAAATACCCAATTAAACGCTCTATGAATTTGAGTCTAGAAGGCAGGGGTTCCTCAGTCCAATACCATGTTTAATTCATCCCTCATTACCATAATACTGAATATTATAGCAAAAAGTAATCCAGTAATTACAGTTTTTCTTTTCAGATCTACTGGAATTCATTGATGCAGTTGACAGCAAAACAATCCTGAGATTTCTCAAAAGCAAACCAACTTGGCTTTGTGTCTTCATTTGTAAATGCTTTTACTCATATAAAAAAGTTAATACTAATTTCTGAAAAACATCATGTGAATCATGTTTTGTAAGATCCTTAAAGAGCTTTGACTACCTCAGCATTAAACACAGAGAATCCTACTTGGGCAATAATATGTCACCTCTTTCTTTCTAAGGAAGCCTGTTTGACTTGACAAAACATGTATTGTCAAATGCATGACAGGCATAGATGACTTGGGAGATAACACAGCACAAGCAGTCATAAGGTCTGAAACTCAGGTAACTACCAGAAATTCCCATACAACTTTTATTTTTGTGCTATATTTCCTGTGAATTTGTTCTTTCAATATATAAATAGTTACAGAAGTAGTTTAATGACAAAATCATGAGAATAACCTCACACTTGTAACTCTCAAGGTTTTTGCTTGTACATCATATCACTCCACCCAGTTTCCTTTTACAACTGTAGCTACTCTAAGACAGTTGTCATGTATATGAGTATATGGTGACTATTGCTGATCTCGTTGGAGACTTTTAACATTATCAAACACAAGTAATAATAATAACAATAATAATAATGATAATTAATATCTACCTGTCATATCTGACTTCTTCAGGGAAGAACTAAAATCAAAATTATAACTCTTGTGGGAGTCTGCCAAAACTAAGGGAAAAGCTAGAAATACACCCTTCTGTAATCAGGTCAGCTTACCTCATAGCACTTGTAAAGGCATGAATCACATTATGTTCCCTTGGCATTTCTGTGATTGCCAACTTTTTATATGCAAACATTGTAAAGAGCTTTGAAAACAATTAGGATGAATTCATAGCTCCCAGTAAGATTGGACATACCCCACAGGGCTGGTCTGGCAAACCCCTCCATGTCAGTCCTGAGGAGTCACCTGGCTGCATCCTGAGGGTGCATTAGGGCAAGCCCTGCGGATCACCATCTCCCTCAGTTCATAGTTTACTGAAGGAAACCCACAAAACAGTCAGAAAGTGAGATGCAGCAGGTCACTGTGGAGTCCCACCACACACAAACATGCAAGGACAGCTGCACACACCACCCGAGTGTATCACAGAGTCTGTCCTTCTCTCCTACCACATGGCCTTGCTTCTGCTTGAGGCTGCCCATGTGCTTTTATGGGCCTGTACTTCACCTATGCTGAGACAAACATGCATGAATTATTCAAAGGTATCTGTAAAATTGGGTTTAAAAACTGCAAAATAACGATCTGGTGACAGGCTGGTCATACCTCCCATGGTTTTATTACCTCAAACGAAGCTGGAGAATCAGCAAATGTTTTAGTTTAGTTTTTCATTGAACCAACAACAAAGAAATCTATTATTTTTGATGCTTCATCTGTGAGCAGCCAGGTCTGCAGAAAGTACTTCTGCCATGTCCCTGGGCTACAAAAGGGCAGACACCAGCCAAGAGGGGCAACACTTGGCCCCTGATAAGGTCAACAGAGCTGCCCTCTGGCATTGGCACTTGGATCGGCCTGGATGCATTTCTCATTTGAAGGCCAATTCTGACACCACCGATTTAACAAGAGTTTGTGGTGGGGCATGTTCAGACTGCCAACTCATTAGGAATAATGCTAATGATATTATATGTTTTGTCTGCATTAAGGTCTGGTGCTTAGAAAATAAACATCTTGGCTTTGCCTCAATGTTTATCTCAATAAATACCTCAGCTTTGTCTCAACAATTATCTCTCCACAGCAGACCATTATCCAGTAGCAACATATAATTCCATTAACAGTACTGTTTAAAATATATCCTCTTTGTGCTGCAGAGAAAGGAGTTCTATGTGGGAAATATCGGGGCATGGTGTATTTTTGGAATTAAAACAGAAATTAAGTCACTTGGGCTATTTCTTATCCACTTAGTTTTTGTTTTTCTATTTCTTGTTTTACACAATACAAGCACTCTCTGGCTTGTGAGGAGATTGCAATTGGAGAAATCTGGAAGGCTCCCAGGGAAAGCATATTTTAGGGCAGTCCTGTGCCATGGGTTACTGCAGGTGACAATAACTGATAACGGTCCAACATATTACCTGAATCTGCTTCAAACTGATGACAGGACTTTAGAAACAGGTTGGGCTTCTTTGTATCTTCGAAGGAAAAGGTGTGAGAAGCTTCTGTGGATAATTGTTAAATATTAACATCATGTTGACATTTAAATCTTATTACATGCAACTCAGTAAGGCACCTAGAAGTCAGCACGGTATTTAAAGAAAAAATCATCTCAGTAATTTTGGAGCTGGTGTAGGAGCACTGTGGGAGTAGACACTGCCATGGCTACAGTGCTCTGTGCAAATGGCCCAGGCAGCAGCATCTGGGAGGTAACAGCTATTATACATCAGTCTTTTTGTCTGCGTTCTGTACTGAGCCAAATACACAGTTAGCACTTAGCAAATATGCAGTAGGGTAAATTAAATGGAAGAGGATCTGTTCTCATATGCATTAGTACAAGTCCAGAGAAATTCTATTAAGGTTGCAGAAGTAAATGAGATCAGAACCTGGCTCATTGTGTTAATGACCAGTTAAATTTGGCAAAGATCTGAAATAGTAGGACTTCTCTGAGGGAAAAGGTTGCAGTGATGGAAAGAGGCTGAAGAGGAATGGATGGTGGAAAAAATGAAGAAGTAGAGCCTCAGTGCGGATGGAAACAATACATGAGGGTTGCAGTCAAAACCACTATGGCTAGATCCAGTAAAGGAAACCGGTGTCTAGAGGGGGGGGAAAAAGGAGGAGGGATGCTCAGACTATTTGAGGCACTTGCAACCTGATGTTTTCCAAACACATGTGGTACCTCACTATCAAACCTCAGCATTCCTGGGCTTCTGTGCAGCCTACACTCACCACCATGTCACACATACTGAGCTATCGGTACCTACTTCATGCCCACAGCTGAGTGGCATCCACAGACTAGGAAACACAACACCAAAGTCTCACAAAGGGCTCAGTCTAGTCGATGCACTCTGAATACACCTTGGCATTGAATTTCATGCAGAACATCAAAGATAGGGTCCTGTGAATTGTGGGGGAGTCCAACATTCTAAAATAACCAGCAATTCGCTTTTATCAGCTTTGGGACCTAATATTGGTGGCACAAGCCACAGGAGCAGACAGCATGCCCTAAAGCAAAGAGCTATCTCCACCTTCATCTGTCACGGGGCACCAAACAAGGCTCCTGCACTGCTGCATCATGGGTCTGGGGAGATGGGGGTGGAGGTTGCTCTGTAGTCTACGTTACAGCAGGATGAGGAGGTTTCTTGTGGTTATTTAGAAAGGTTCCCTACAGGAACAGTTCTAGTGATACTCCCCATCTCTTCCAGGAACAAGGAGATAGATGACAATGTCACCTGGGCTGACATTAGCTTACAGGCCACTGGTATAGCTAGGCACACCCAGGAAATTTGGCACTTGCTCATTAATTAGTAGAGATGAGATAGAGGTCCTCCTCCATAGCTCTATGTTATCTCTACTAGGCAGACAAAATTAAAGTAAGTCTAAGAAATGTGATTCAGCCTTGTGGTTCAGGAGCACAGGTGGGACAGAAGGCTCTTTGTTTCTATTCCTCTTTTGTATTTTATCTGATGTGAAGTACTTGGATAGCTCAGTGAGCAGGGACAGACCCAAAGTCACATGACATGATGGAGCAGTCAATAATCAAGAAATCATGTCCTGGAGTAGGAGCAATGTGACATGCTTGGCAAACTGCACCTAAGCAACAAATTTTTGATACGAGCTTCAGTACAGCCAAAAGTAAAGTCATTCATTAGAGGACAAATCTTTCAGATCGTCCTCACAGGTTAGTGGAGTCCTCAGAAGCAGTGAGTCTGCTGGGAGGCCAGGGCAGATAACCCAACAGGAGAAAATGTTTGCTTCAACTAAAGGGCTAGAGGAATCCTTGTGTGTATGAATCTGGGAACTCTAGATGCTATGGACAAAGTCTGTAACTGGTCTCCATTTAAAAGTGTCCTGGCCTCACATGTACACGTCAAGAGTAGACGATTCAGAAGAGAGTTCACTGAATGACTGAGGACTAGAAAATGTCTTACAGCAAGAGTTTCCAAAAGCTGGAGCTCTTCAGTAGAGAAAAGGGAAAGGCTCATACAGGTATAATTTATGAGTATCTGTATTTCACAGAATCATAGAATCAGCTGGGTTGGAAAACACCTCCGAGATCATCAAGTCCATCCCTTTATCCAACACCACTGCTGTTGCTAGATCATGGCACTAAGTGCCACATCCAGTCTCTTCTTAAAAACCTCCAGGGACGGAGAATCCACCACTTCCCTGAGCAGCCCATTCCAATGTCTGATTACTCTCTCTGTAAAAAATTTCTTCCTAATATCTAACCTAAACCTCCCATGGCACAACTTCAGACCATGCCCTCTTGTCTTGCTGATAGTTGCCTGGGAAAAGAGACCAACACCCATCTGGCTACAATCTCCTTTCAGGCAGTTCTAGAGAGTGATGAGGTCTCCCCTGAGCTTCCTCTTCTCCAGGCTGAACAGCCCCCTCAGCCTCTCCTCATAGGACTTGTGCTCCAGTCCCTTCACCAGCCTTGTTTTTCTCCTCTGGACCTGCTCCAGGATCTCAATATCCTTCCTGAACAGAGGGGCCCAGAACTGGACACAGTACTCCAGGTGTGGCCTCAACAGCGCTGGGTACAGGGGAAGAATCACTTCCTTGGAACTGTTGGCCACACTATTCCTGATCCAGGCCAGGATGCCATTGGCCTTCTTGGCCACCTGGGCACACTGCTGGCTCATGTTCAGCTTCTTGTCAATCTAAACTCCCAGGTCCCTCTCTGCCTGGCTGCTGTCCCCAGCCTGTAGCACTGCCTGGGGTTGTTGTGGCCAAAGTGCAGGACCCAGCACATTTGAAGCAAAGCTTTGGAAGTGGGCTCTCACACACGTCTGCCTTAGAAATAAGGCATGTGGTTTCAGCAGAGAGGAGAAATTACCTGTTTGAACAATTTACATGGAGAGGAGGGTAGATTCTTCCATCACTGGGCATAATTTACTTAAAATTGGCTAGTTTACTCAAAGAAAATCAATAGTTCAAACAGGAATAACTGCAGGGAAGACTTTTGATCCATGTTATGCAGAAGGACATGCAAGGTGATTTGTTCTGGATATCAGTCAATGAAAAGTGGGTCATCCTGCACTCTGTTCCCCCTTTACTCTCCATCCCTCAGCACCAGACCTGTGAGCAGTGGCAGCAAAGTGAAGCATCTCCAGCACTGCCTTCCTCCACCCTGGGATGGAGAATCCAGGAGCAGCAGCAGTGGGAGAGATAGGCAGGCAAAAAGACTTCAGTGCAAGAACTGAGCTTAGAAATTCAGGAATCAATATCATGTTTTTCTTGGGTTGCATAACTAATTGTTGAGCAAGAGAAGAGTGCAGAAGTGGGTTGGTAGGATCTAGAATAAATTAATGAGAAATTAAGACTGAGGGCTAGTTGGAAATTTCCTACTCTCAGGAGACCAGAGAGAGTTCTTACAGAAGAGAGTATCACTCTCTGTCCATATAAAAGAACTGGCAACACACGCTGTCTGCCTTTCTCTCTTGTGCATGCAAGAAAAAAAAATAAGAAACATAGCCTTTTTTTAAATACCTCATTATATTAAGGCCATTCCCATGATTCGGAGAGTGCAGAGTTTTCTTCACTTCTGGGGTTTAGAGTCCTGTGTAAGATCCAAACCCTACGTGGCAGGCAGTGATCCCCTCTGACTAGCCTTCTGAGTGTGCTGTCTCATGCCTTTATGAATGCATCCACCCAGGATGCTGCAGTGACCTCTCTTGGCAAGCTATGTGTGTGTGTGTGTCAAATTGCAAGCATGTCTTTCTTATCAAGCTACTCTTTTTCTGATGTATGCCAGGAGAAGCAAAAGCAAAATGAGCTCAAAAGCAGGGCTAATTGCCCGGAATTTGGTCAGAATATTACCTATTCCTTACAAACAGAAAAAAAACCTCTGCCCATTTTTATAGTGTTAACACAGCACTAGTATAACAGTCCAGCCAACAATATTTGTCAAAGAGCCAGTCCAGATTAAACATAAAATATTTTATCCCTGAGTACTCAAACATCCTGTTTCTTTAAAGAATAGCACACAAATTAGAGTCATCTCAGTGCATTAGCCTCCCTTGACGACATTACAAATCCCAGTACAAAATTAAGATAAAAGCCTACGATGCTTACAAAAGTTGTGAAAGCTCATGCCTGCATTTGCTCACTTCTCTGACATCTCTGTTGTTCATCCTGGGCAGAAGATGTATTTCAGCCATTTGAATTTGCGCCCCAGGTTTATCAAAGTATTCCTCTCACCGACCCCACCCTGACCCAGAGGAAGTACTGTCTTTCAGACACTCTGCAAGTCACCAGTGGTGTTGCAACATGCCGCTCCACCTTTATGTGGCTGGACAGGCAGATAAGGAACATAGCCCATCTGCATAAAGAAAAGCTTTCCAATGGGAAGGACAAAGATGCATTGGAAGAGGTTGCCTGCGGCACTGGTGGAGTCTCCATCGAGTCTTTAAGAACTAGTTAGACTGGCATCTGTCAAGAGTGATACAGGCACAGTTCCTTTTGCCTTCCAACACTGTTTTTCTCAATCTATGGTGAAATTCTGCACCTGACAAACTGTCATGAATATCTGCCTGTTCCCTGCAACCTGGGAAACTGAGGAAGCACACTTTGGCAACTGGCGTGGAGGCAGGAGATTACATGTCACGTTAATTGCCTTAGAAGAACATTTGACCCTTACCTACTGTTGTCCAGCTTCAAGAGTCATTGGTATTGACTGACATATTCTTCAAATCCCAAAATGAGCAACAGTTTCCAGAGTTTTACCCCTCGCATTATTTTTAGCTGATTACACAGTCCTCATGATTGATCTTCCTGGAGTGGCTCTCCTGCAAGCCTCGAGGAGGGGAGAGGAGGGGTTTCATGGAGACACACATTTCCATGGGTGATAAGCTCGCATCTGTTTTGAACTGTAAAATGGTAGCTCGTTGTGAAATCCTCTTGGAGCATACCTTTTAAATGCCAAACAAGCCCAGCATCAGCAGCACATAAAGAAATATTTGAAAGGCTCTGGAGGGAAGCCAAGAGGACGTGGCTAAT